AGTGTTATTACCACCTCCATAAGCCCACTGGAAGATCAGCTATGAGTTGGTTCCAACTCGATGGTACTTAACAACTACCAGAAAGATACTCAGAATTTGTGTAAAACAATTTTTACACAAAAAATATTGCTGGCCTAATAATTTAAGATATTATATGTACATACCTATGTATAATTTTGTAAACACATACATGACATATGTTTATTAGTTAAACCCAAATACTCTAGTTAAACTTTGCTGTTGTTGACTTAAAAGTTAAATATGAAACATTACTTCAGCATACTCTGGAAACGCAAGTTTATTTTTTTCTCATTAGTAGGATCCAGCCACTCATCAGCTACTGAGTACTTACTATGTGTTTAGGATATAAAAAAATAGTAAGATTTAACCTCTTCTCAGAGAATTCACAGACTTCATTTAAGACACATAAGTATTTTTATTAATTAAAAGCAAAGTTTTAATTAATAGTTTCACTGTTATTACATTGCTGTTATGTACCTTCAAGTCAGAACCAGCCTATAGCTGACCCTAAGCAGGTTTTCAGAGGCAATAAATCACACATGAGGAGACTCCATCTTTCAACCACAAAGCTATGGTGGATTCCAACCATGTACCTTTAGATTGGCAGTGCAATCCAAAACCTTGCTGTTGTTAAGTGCCGTTAGAGTCGCAGGCGACTCATAGTGACCCTATGAAGGAGAGTCTTCGACGCTTGGGTGCCTTTCTTCCTCTCTTCAGGTTTATAGGGTTTCCGGAGGCAAGCTGTTATGGAAGTGGATGCCACTCCTCCTTCCAAGCTTGTTATAATAGGGGAGCTCCACCCCACTCTCTGTCCACATTGGGTAGCCAACCATTAACGCATTTGACACATTAGTGTCACAATGTTCAGCCTCACAGCAACCACAAGTGACCACAGTACAGCAACTTGTACACCAGGGCTATACGACCTAGAGGAATATCTGGACAAAAACAATGAAAGACAGGCCCGAGGTCCGCGGATTAAAAGTCACCCACCTTCAGCTTGGTAGCATCGCTCTCTGTCCACTGGGCCAGCTGATCTCTCTCTCTCTGTTCATGTTATTGTTGTTCAGTGCCGTCGAGTCTCAGGCAACTTATAGTGACCCTATGAAAGAGAGTCCCCCACGCTTGGGTGCCTTTCTTCCTCTCTCCAGGTTCATAGGATTTTCGGAGCAAGATATTACGGAAGTGGATGCCACTCCTCCTTCCAAGCTCAAAACCCCTTAAGCAAGTGCTAATTTATATTATTTAGGTATCTATGAGTCGGAAACGACTCGATGGCACATAACAACAACAACAAGAATTTTCCTTTGTGATCAGACTTTTTTTTTTTTTTTGTGATCAGATTTTGTTGTAGTAGGGGATGTGCGAAATCAGTCCTTCCAGCATCTTTCACTGTGTGTTAAGTGTTTTGGTGCTTCCTGAAAGGTAAAGAATAGTTTGGGTTTTTAAGTAGCTTTTTCTGACTCATTCACCAGTTAGTTCAAATCCTGCACATTCATCAGATATCAGCAAATTTCCAAAAAGTATCCTTTTCCCAGGTTAAGTCAGCAACCTGGTACATAACCTGGCACCATGGAAACAGGTATGTTTTAAACATTCAAAACTTTCTAATTGAATAAGGCATAAAGGATTTCATTTTATTGATTTAGCCAACCATGTCCCATAATAAACTCTTGATGAAAATATTGGGACTGTGACTTGTTTTGATTTTGACACCCCATAGTGGGGATGGCACACAGTAGAGCAAGGTTCAGATCTGTTGTTCATAGCATTACCGTGAGTTGTAGTTAACTCTATGACACCTAACAGCAACAGCAGCAGAAGCAGCACAGTACTGGCTGATAGCACTTGCTCAGATGGTTGGACTGAACTTTAATCTCATTTGAGGAATAATATTTCTGCATAAGATTTATACGTGAGAGACTTTTGATAGTCGTTGTTATGTACAAGATTATTAAAAGTAGGACTGATGATTTAAACAAATTCTGTTTGGAATCCTGGATTATTACTTAGAAAAAATTTATGATTCCAGAATACTAGATAGAATTTATCTCTCTGTTCCTGCTTTCTTAAAATCACCTGTCATTCAGACTGTTATCTAACTAGTGTACTCTTTGTTGTATTCTTATATATCATTCTTTTTTACATTCATTCTAGTGTATGTGATTTTTTTCCTTCACTAGTCTGCACATGATCTGAATTGGGAACAGCATACGATAGATAAACTTGATCATTGCTCTCATTTACTAATTAGTCTTTAATGTTCCGATTTCAAAACATGTATTTGCTATCTTTTTCTCCCAATTTAATTAGCATGTTTAGAGAAATATGATCTAGTGTGTATGTTTGTTGTTCTTATGTGCCATCGAGTCTTCTGTGACTCATAGCGGCCCTATGTATAACAGCCCTAAACTCTGCTCTGTCCTGTGCCAGTCTCACTGTCTCCAACACACCACTCCCGATTACCCCATTCACTGACTCAATCCACCTCATAGAGGGTCTTCCTCTCCTGCGCTGTTCCTCCACCATCCCAAGCATGATGTCCCTCTCCAAGGACTGGTCCCTCCTTGCAACATGTCCAAAGTATGTCAGACAAAGCCTCAGAATCCTTG